AGGGACTGATTCCTATGAGGCTGGGAAATATAGATTTTAGTGATCTGGCTCAACTATGTTTGGAATGAAGCTTTCAAACCCTGCTGATTGCTAGGGCTAAGCACATGGCTTTGTTATTGGTTAGGCCTCCAGAATGCTTTAGAGAGGCTGATCGTTTTACTCTATTGTTGATCCAAAGGAAGTGGATGAGCCAGTACTTCTTCAATCTAGAAAGTCTCAGGAACAAATGAGGAAGGGACTGTTCAGAGAAGTAACTGGCTGAAAGGGAACCCCAGAGCATGCTTGGACACATAATGAAAATGATATCTAAGCACCAACTCAAAAGCCAAAATGTTCCCCATTTCGGTTGCTTACCAAGAACTCTGGGATTAGGTCTTGTCTCCAAGAAAAAGCCTTACGTGGGAGACATAAGATGCAGATCTTAAAGCCATGGGCCCTGCCACCGGGAGGTAGGGAAGACTGCGGAGGCGCTCCCTGCTGTTGGGGCTGAATTTCAGGCCCTCCACTAGCCCCAGAGTATTGTGTGTGTCAGGAAGGTGAGTGGGAACAACCTTTTCTTTACCTGACACCGATAGGGGAAATTCCTGCCACCACTCCCAGCCCCAAAGGAATTGGTAAGCCAAGGGTCACTCTAAGGACCAAGGATAGAGCGGGCAGCCAGCCACTTGGCACCAGGCTGGTTTAGTAGATTAGTATGTCAGAGAGGGGACAACTCACAGGGTAGGGATTTTAGTGTAATCATTAGTGTCAGTCAGGAAACCAGAAGGACTTGCCTCAAAGTGATGGAAAAGGCCCAAGTGAATAAGATACTTACTCTCTAGATATCCTAGGGAGGAAGGTCATTGAAAGAGAGAACCATGGGAAACAAAGTTAAAATGGAAACATCAGTCTGTCTTGGTCTGGACAAGTTACACTCTGGGCTCTTAGTTTTTTGGCTCCAAACACATACCTCTGCATCCTGCTCTTGCTCCCTTTCCATCTCCTCCCCTCCTATCCCCCATCATATTACATAGTAGGAAGGACAGACCTTAGCCTCTCCTTCTGCTTAAGGTGCCATTCTGACCTCCTAGACTCTAATCCTTGCCTTCCTATGATTTGAGACCTGCTTGACTAGCCATCTCTATGTACTTGCCACATTGCCTAGATGCAGGATACTCTTCTAAGAGACTTCTAAGAAGCTAAGGGTCAACTAGTTTGAAGACAAGAAAAAGCTTCTCTTCTTGGTCTCTGGCCTGCCAGCTCTCAACTAGGTTAGCAAAAGCCAGAGCGAGGCTGCAATGCAGAGCAATCCCGGCATCTGGATGACATGTTGGTTAGCTGTGAGATGTTCTGGATCTGGCTAACCCAGTCTCAGTGGTAGCAACCTTTGCTGACTAGTGCCTACCAGGCAGGAATTAGATACTTTTTCCAAAATAGCTTTCTTGGGATAGTCAGCACAATCAAGCTTAATCTGGCAGGGAGCAGGGGTTGGAGGCTGGGCGCTGGTGAAGGTTTCAGTAAGCCTGGGAGTTTCTCTGCTAGGAACCGGAGAAGCCATCATCTGTTCTGTGTGGCTGTTCTACCCATCATCATACCCCAGACAGTTGGGGCCAGCCTTACTCTGTTCATTAGGCTGGCCTGAGCTCCAGACTAAGGCACCTTCTTTTCTTCTCTTGCCATCTCTAGTTAAAGATAAGTCATCCCATTAGGCTCCAAGGTAATGTCAGAGTCCAACTGACCCATACTCAGCCCACCTCGTTGGGTTTCATAAACTAAGAGGCTACAAGAAGACTGGCCTGCCAAACCTAACGATGGAGACTGCTGAGAGCATCTATGGCAACTTCAAGAACAGGAAGTCTCTGCTGCTGCTCTGAGGTACTAGTAAAGACAAAATTCTCCTCTATATCGCCACCTCCACCCCCATCTCCTCACTTCCCCACACAGACTGCTGAACTGCGTACTCACTTCTCGAGCAGGGTCAGAGCCGTCACCGGGTTTACCCGGAGGTACTTGCAGTTGGGCTGACCATAGTCAGCAAGGTAGGTGGACCAATCCCACTGGATGAAGAGATCCAAGAGCTGTAAAACATCCAAATCCCCACCCCAGAGATTAGTCAGACAGACAAAACAAACCCCTCAGAAACCCCTAGCATCCTTCACTATTAGCTAATAGTAAATTTGAAAAACGAATATAAAAATGTAATAAGACAAAGAATGGTTATAGATTGTAATGCAACCAAGAAAATAAATGAGTAATTGTTAGAAGTAAGAGTCATCTCTGCCATAAGCACCGTCATGTTGCTAAGACTATATGCTAGCAGTTAGCTCTCAAAGGCAGGCCTGTAATAACATGGGACCGAATCAAAATACAGGACTATCATAATAATCGCTCACTTATTTAATAAATACTTATCAAATGCCTTCCGTGTATCAAGCATAATTCTAGAAGCTGAGAATTCAACAATGAACAAATAAAGGTGGATACAGTCCAGTGCCACATCTGTAACTGTATCAGCTTTCAGGTTAAAAGGTCTGAGTTCAAGTACCAGTTTCATGACTTGCTGCATTGACTTTGCCCAAGTTACTCAGCTGACACAGACACATACACATGCCTAGAACAAACAGGACACACACACGACTGAGGATGCAGAGTCTGGAACTGGATTACGAGTGTTAGAGAAGAGTGCCAAAAACTAGATGTGGATTTATAAGATGACGATGAGTTTTTCTGAGGTTAAACTGAGTTCTGAGACTGGGGGAGATTTTGATTTAGAAAAACTAAACACATTTTGTCAAAGGCTTTCCTTCCCAGTCAGTTTTAGCCTCAAGTATCACTCTAACAAGTATTTAAAAATTTTAACCAAGTTAAAAACAAAACAAAACAAAATAGTGCCTTTCAAGGGTAGGGGTGATGAAAGGGAAGCTGTTAGCTCCTTTCTATAAGCTTCTAGAAAGGGCGGAGTCCCAGACTCATACCATTGTGTAGAAGGCCCTCTAAGCAGTCTCTAGCCACGAGATACATTTAAGTGTTTTTTGGACACAGGACATTTTCCTACTTCTCCCTTTCTAAGAGATAAGGAGATAAGCAGGTGGCTGTCTCTCTGTGCAGAACAAAGGCAGAGAGGCCGAGAGTCAAATCCAGTGCCAGAGTCTGGGCTCCAGGCACATCTTCTCCACCATTGGTCTCCACTGCACAGCTGAGCAAACAGGCAGTGTGGGCCTCGTGCTGCTTGGCCAAGCCTCCACTTCCATCCATTCTCTTAGAAGAGCTGTTATGAACTTCCTCAGGTGGGATGGGAATTGGCTGAAGTCCCAAGCCTAAACTGAGAAAAGGCCCTACACCCTCAGCCAAGAAAGGGATGCTAAAGATGAGGGAGAGAATGGGGAGAGGCAAATAGACATGTTGGCTGGCCCCAAAGGGCCCTCGCAGGCCTCTTTAGGCCACGCCTATGTTAGTCGGCAAGTAAAAGGGCTTCTATTGCTTCCTGCTGCTGCCCCAATGCCTCACAGAGCTCTCCTTTAGAAGGGGGTTTTCCCTGACTTCCTATTCTAACCTTGGGATTTCTGTCCACAGTGTCCAAAGAGCACTCAAGATGGTTCTCGATTTGTTCCGAAGAAGCAAAAGTGACACTCAGAGTGTCCCTTGTTCTAAAGGTCTTCTCGTGTGTTTTACAAATATTATGCTTTTCCCCCAAATCCCAGGGAAAATTATGAAAAGGGATAGCATTTTCTTAATTAAAAATTCTTTCTCAGAAAATGTTGGAAAACCTTGGGGAGGCTTTTACTGTTTGTACCCCAAGGAGCTAATAAAAGAAAAGTGAATGAATAACAAAAAGTTTAATTAGAAAATTTTGAAAATCTGATTTCGTAAAACTATTTTAAGTATTGCTTTTCAGATGTGGACATATACATGCATTTATGAAAACTACCTTCTCTTTTAATAAACTTCTACTTTCTGTGATGGAATTAACGGTGTCAGTATTTTCTGATTTGCTGCAAAGAACATCATGTTTTCCCGGCTGATGAAACCTGGGTAAATCACCAACGGGGTATGGAGGGCAGTTCAAGACTTAGCTCTATGGTTTACTATTTTTATCTTGTTGCCAAAATCTCTTAATGCCAGTATTGAACCTAAGAGCTCTGGGATGACAAGCTCCTTAATTTATCCCACTCGAGGCATGGACTCTGTTAAGCTCAGCCAGTGTGAGCCTGTTTATCTGTGCTCTTTCCACAGTCCTCTAAGGTGGCCTCTACCTGGGTCTTCCAAGAGAGATGGACATAGACCAGAGCCTGGGGGGTACTCAAGTATGTTAGCTGCCCAGAGCACAGTTCTTTGGGATTCCACAGAACAGCATCCTATGGGATAAGAGACCACGAAAACCAGAGGGCCAACTTATCGACACAGCACTTTGATTTCCAGACTATGAATTTCAAAGGTAAATCAGGCCCTCCCAGCCTGGTTCTCTACTTACGATGGCCTTGTTAGGTCTCAATAAAGTATCTCCCAAGGGTGCAGAGCATTCAGTCATCACTAATTATCACATTATTTTTTATTTTTTATATAATTTTCATTTGGAAATAATTTCAAACTTATCAGAAAGATGCAAGAATAAGCACAATATGAAGAATACCACATACCCTCCACCCAGATCTCTCCATTGTCAACATTTTACCCACACCCTCTATCATTTGTATTTTTTCTCTCTTTCCACACATGTGCACACTTACTTCTTTTCTGAGTCTCTTGAGAGTGAAGTGCATATATTTCTCCAAATACTTCAATGTTCCTAAGAATTAGGGATATTTTCTTACGTAATCACAGTATAGTTTCAACTTCAGTAAATTTAGTATTGATAACTGTCTATATTCAGACTTTATAAATTGACCCAATAATGTCCTATACAGTCTTTTTTTTTTGGCTTTACTATAGCAAGTGGCTTAGGTTTAGGTATTACATTTAGTTGTCTGTTTAATCTCCTTTAATCTGGACAATTTCTGTAGCCTTTCTCTTTCTTATATGATATTGACATTTTTGAATGTCCCCTGCTTCTTTTTTTCCCTCTAGTTTTGGTTTTTCTGATGCTTTCTCATAATAACATTTAAGACGTGCATCTCGAGCCAGAATACGACATGAGTGATGCTGTGTCCTCCTCAGGGTATCAGCATATCTGGAGGTATACAATGTTCATTTATTTGTCTCTGGGGCACTGATTTTGATCACCCAGTCAAGATGCTGTCTGATTTCTCCACTCTCTGTGTGTTATGTTTTCCTCTGTGACTAGTAAGCAACTGAGGAGAGAATTAAAGAGCATGCAAATATATTTCTCCTGATTAAAGTTTCCCCTTAGATTTAGTATCCATTGAAGATTCTTGTCTGATTCAGTCTTTACTACGATGGTTGCAAACTAATGACATCGCAACTTCACCCTTCTCTCATTTACCAGCTGTCACTCAGCATTCTACTGCAACAAGTGCTCTCCTTTCTCCCATATTCATTTATCTATTTATTACTGGTATGGATTCACCGTTTCCCATTTCTTCAATGCCTTATATTCATTACTATACCTATTATTTTGATGCTCAAATTGTCCCAGATCCAGCAAATGGGAGCCTCTTCAAGCTGGAGCCTGTGCCCTTGTGACATGCACTTTGCTTTCTGGTATAAGATATTGCAGACTCATTTTGCAGCTACCATGCCTCAGTTCTGCAACCAGTCATTTCTCTGAGGTTTCTTTCAGTGGAAATGTTATTAGAGATCAAGATTTGGGTGCTAGGTGTGCTTATGGCTATTGCAGTGTCTTTTTTAAAATTGTTACTGGGGGCAATCTGGGAATTAAGCCCTTTCAACAGACAGAGCTAGGAAATGTATGCACGTACATATACACATGCACACATATTACACACACACATACATCTGTGCTTATATAAGTTGTGCACACACGTTTTAGAAATCATAAGTTTACAACAATTCCTTCAGTTTTAATCACACTCACAGAGCTCTTTCTTGCCTCCCTCTATTCCATACATGTACGTGTTTTTTTTCCACAGTGAGAATCCTGGCTCTCAACATCATTTCATTTATTAATTTGCTCAGTCCTATAATATATCTAAAATAGTTTCAGGATTGTTTGTACATACCACTACAAAAAAAAAGCGCCTACTAAAAAAAAAGTTCAAATTCATCTGCAGTTCTCCCTCCTGACCCAAGATTGAGTGTGTACAAACACTGTGTCCATTAGTCACCTGGATTAGTTCTTTTTTAATTTTCCCTTCAGTTTAGCTATGGCATTCATCTAAATACAATTGGGTTCGTTTGTTTCCATTTGCTTTTAGTTTTCGGCACCTCCCTCCCATCTCTGTTAATTTTTTAAATATGTAGGACATTAACGTGCTCCCACAAGTCAAAACTATACAAAAAACTTAACTCAGAGAAGTGTCGCTCCTTCCATTGTTGTGTCCCTTTTACCCCAGTTCTTGCCTTGCCTTATAGGTAACCAACTTGACTGTTTCTGGACTTGCCTTTCCTAAGTTTCTGTTTGTAAAGATAAGCCAATACACATACACTTTTAAATCTTCCCTTTGTTCTTTCACATAAAATAGCATACTATACATGCACTTTAAGGCATTTTATTTCTTGATGTTTACAACTAGGTGGCGGATAGAGAAGAAAGAGGAAGGTCAGATGTGGCAGACTTGAACTTAAGACTGATATTCCCCAAATTTTATTATTTGAGTATAACCTTTGCAATTTTTACATATGCTCATGCTATATGTTATTTTTACTTAACATTTTTTTTGTGTTGATTCACGTTTTGATTATAATAAAAATGTAAAAGAACATTTTCTATCACTATTATAAATGGAAAACCACTCTTGCTTGCCACAAAGAGAAGATAACAAATACTAGCACCACAATGAGATGTTCTCTTTGTCATCACAAAGACTAAAAAGAAATCTTTCTTACAACATGATTTAGTGTTTATAGTGGTGCATCCAGATGCACCTAAACTTGTATCTTGATTACCACTTTATATGGTCTCTTGTACCTCTAGTATTCCATCTATCCTATGTTTCGAGAT